CACGATGAATCACAAGTTTAACTCAAGGACTAAACTAGTCCGAACGAATGCGCTAACGTGTGGGTTGCACTGCCAGACATTTGAGTCGAAAATTACAATCACTTCTATTCAAGCTGCTCGTCATCTTCAGTTCTCTGCACAGGAAAGTTGTTTATTCGGCTGACCGACTGAACTATGGTTGCCCGAGTCAGGACTTTGATCTGTAGGGCGTACAGTACTTCGGTGTTGATGAGTGAATGGACAAAGCTTCACTGGTAGAAAAAGTTTGCCTTATAAAATATTTTTAACGAAATTTCATGAACGTATGAAAGGCGTCCAAATGGGCCGTCCTACTTAGTAGCCTTGTCATGTACTCTTTTGGCTGATGGGGTTATTCTGCTGAACACGCATCATGAGTTAGTAATTGAATAAATAATGACTGTTTGTTCGACTAAGTGCTTGTTCCACCTGAAACAAACTATTTGTATAGGAAGGCTGCGGGGTGCTACGTGTTTATATGCGCATCGCTTTGTAGTTGGTTTCCAAATATGCAGGGTTACAAGAGGATGCTATTCAGTTTTTACAAGTCCATCGGAATAATAAAAATATAAGTAATAAATGAGGAGCATTTCTCAGTCACACGACATCGAGCTTCAGCGTCGGCAGTGGTACCGTTCACACTCCAACTGCGCATGCTCGCGTCTCAAGCCGCGTGCTCGCGCCTGATACCAACTTTCCCTCCCCTCTCCTTCTCTCGCCTCGCAAAGCCAACGTAGGCAGCGTCTGCTGGTACAAAAACTGACTGGTCTCGCTGCGCAACCTGTTCACTGGTCACCCCAGATATGTAGGCACTGGATCACACGTTCTAAATTCAGTCAAAGGCGTCTTGGTTTTCTTTCCGCCCCGCCGCGGTGGTCTAGTGGCTAAGGCACTCGGCTGCTGACCCGCAGGGCGCGGGTTCAAATCCCGGCTGCGGCGGCTGCATTTCTGATGGAGGCGGAAATGTTGTAGGCCCGTGTGCTCAGATTTGGGTGCACGTTAAAGAACCCCAGGTAGTCAAAATTTCCGGAGCCCTCCACTACGGCATCTCTCATAATCATATAGTGGTTTTGGGACGTTAAACCCCACATATCAATCAAATCATCGTCTTGGCTTTCCCTTTGTTTTAAGCTTTGCTTCACTCTATTAGATGCGATGAAAGCAGCAGTATCTTCAACCAGTAGTAGAGTGCAGCTCAACATCAGCGTCCTACCACTCGTTGAACGCAAGGCTTCTGCATCACTCAATATATAAGAATAATACAAGCTAAATATATTAAAAAATTAGGCTTCGTTACACTATACCCAATTACGCAACATTCACGTCATACGCCAAGTACTCTGCGACGCATTTTTAGTCTCCCCCCCTCCTGTGCGAAGATGCGGGTGGCTTTTTATTGCATAGATTTAAAACGTTACACTTGCGGAGATCACAGTGTCCACCCACTTGTCCGCCGCCAGAAATTTTTTTATGCTTGTGTTGGGTGACGAGTTTCACCTGCCTTTATGTACGTTTACTCCTAGGTTTGCTTGCGCGCATTTCTATGTACACAGGCCAAATTAAAAAAAAAAAATTGGGAGAATGAGTTCCCGGGCACCCCTCTCTTTCCTCTTTTTGGCTACGCCAATGTCACCGACGTGTCCAATGCGCCCGCCTGTTCAGGGCCCGTCTTCGTTCTGACCGCACAGAAAATAATGTTAAAGCATGTAGAAAGAAACTGCCCACTGGACAATCACAAGGCTTCAGCACGTTAATACGTTGCGAACCTGGCTGCGTAGCTTCGCGCAACATTTGAAGCGGGAACAGAGAGTCATTGAAAGTGATCTATTGCCCAAACTGCCGCCCCATTTCGAACCTGGACGCGTAGACATCGACCACTATAATCATAGGCACCGATTACCAGACAACTGGTGTCCGGTTCTCAAAACAGCGAGGCAAATAAATCGGCACAGGAGCTTTCATAAGACACATGCAGCTGCTGCTGTTCATTTCGCTGCCATTATAAGAAGATTTTCTACTTTTTGGTTAACAATTGAGCGTTGAGGTTATCAAAATGGGCGCCTGTTCGTTGTTGCGAAGATGGAAGGCAACCTGGATGTGATCGTTGTGGGTGTAGTATGGCGACTTTTGTTGCTGTGAATTTATATGTTATCAGTACTTATTGAGCTATTGAAGAATCATGCCAAGAATTATTTCACTGTTCCCCTGTGCATCACGCATACCAACTGTGTTCCTTTCTGGACAGTATAGTACACAGTCTGCGCTAGCAGCTAAGAAGCCAGTGCCGAGCCATATGGTCGTCCAAGTGTTGGAACGCGTCTTAATGACGTGACACGACTTGATTTTAACAACGGAAAGCTGAACAAAACAAACAAAATTGTTCTTCACTTATCTCCTGCCATACTCAAGTCTATAAAAAATTGAACGCAGCTTACACTGGATGTGCCGACAAGGCCTTTTTTGGTGCAGACGCCCACACTTCCGAGATCTGTGGATTTCCCTGTGCTGATATGTCCGAAAGCGAAATACTCATCATTATGCATGTCTCCGATCACATCTTTACCGAGACATCTACGTGAGTACTGGCAAGGTAGTCAATATGACCACTGATCAATCAGCTGTATAGTTCAACTTCTCGGCAAGTATTGCAACACACCCTATATCTCATCCATGGCGGCAAACGGCGGTCGCACCGTGAATTTCTGTAGTGCACAAAAACCTCACTTCTTCGAGAGTACAAAACATGGCGTGATGTTCGTTGGCTGTGCAAGTGGTCTCGACTGTGAGCCAGAGTTTTGTTGGCAGCTTGGCCATTCACACTCGTTCGCTTCTTCTTTGAGATGAAAAACGCTGGATAAGTCGAGCACTTTCGACCAACACTTTATGAACACGCGATGATAACTATTACCAAAGTGACGAGGATAAAGTAAAGAACATTAATTTATCCATACACCATGGCTAGAGAAGAGTTGGTAGGCATAAATGACAACAGATTATCATTGCTCCGTGTTTCTTTTGCTCACGGACGTGATCCTTCGGAACAGAGCAATTTGAAGATTCGCTATTCAAAACGCTTATTACACAGGAGAGTGCGGCGTCCTGACCGCCACCCCCACCACAAAAGTGGTGCCTTCTATTTCCATGAATGCAGGATAAACTGTGCCAGGCGTACTGCAAAAGTGGGGAAGCTAACTGGTGCTTCGCTTCTATGCTCTCATCCATAAAGCAAGGGCTGCCCTATCTTAGCTCCACCACTTCTGCCTGAAGACCTGAAGAGTTCATCGAATTTTATCAAATAAAAAGATCTGGCGAGCTATGCGGTCACCTCATTCCCATAATTGAAGTGGTATAGCGCATCACGGTAAAGAAGAAACCGCAGAGCAGACTGACACAATAAGATAGAGCGGTAAATGCCAAATAAGGTTCCTTCAGAAATTGCAACAAATAAGTAGACTTGCGCAAGCACACAGAGATAGGCGAACATACCGCCACGATTAGACAACCGCCATGGCAACGTCACTTACCGAAAATTCGTACACGATTCATATGAATAAGGAAGGACACTGCACTTTCCGATAAAGTCAACGAAGGGACTGATACATGTGATCCGGCTTTTGCGATGGAATTTGTTTCAATAATTTGTCGGGTGACTTGTGATGGGTGCTTTTTAGCACCTCACCTAAGTAAAAAAAAATTGGAACGTCCACAATTGGGGCATGTGAATTACAATATCTTTCTGAACTGTTTTGTGCACATCGTGACGGTGCTCTTCTAGCCTCTCATTAGGGCAGCGCCTCATTTGGCCATTATACCTCTTCCCACATTAGAGATACCTGAGATACCAGATGAGAGTGGTATGAAGTAAACAACACTGCTTTAACATGGCGCAAACCGCGTTTTCTTTTAGGGGCGAAGCTCTTTATGGTCTAGGTTGATGTCTCGCTCTCTGGCGTACTCAGTAACGTCTTCCTTATCATAGAACAAATTACGCTGTTCCATACAGACAGACAACAGACAGACAAACAGAAAGACAGACAGACAGACAGACAAACGGACATGCAGACAGACAGATAGACAGGCAGACAGACAGGCAGACAGACAGACAGACAGACAGACAGACAGACAGACAGACAGACAGACAGACAGACAGACAGACAGACAGACAGACAGACAGACAGTTGGCCATCGCTCACACCGTGGATATGCTTCAAATGTTTTCGTTTATGAAATATATGCCCGTGTGGTCATTCGTGTATGTCCAACACTCATGGTCATTCTTATCTGTGTTTTACAACATTTACTTCTATAATAAATGCTAATGTGTGCACTGGTTGACCAGTGGGGTTTATGCTTGACTGTACAGCTGATGGCCGTGGTTTCGATCTCAGCAGGAGCGCTTGCGTTTCAGCTTAAGCGACACGCCAGAGACCCGCCAATGTGATGTCAATCCACACGAACGCCAGGTGGTCAAAATTTTTGGATCCCTTCACCATGGCATCAAAGCCATTTCACGGTTTTGCGACATACAACCTTACCTAATGTTATCACATCGAGCCTTAATGGGCTATAAGAAGATTTCCTGTCAATGTAGAGAGCGGTCAATTCGTAACGGGAACATCGAAGTTCGTGTCGTTCGCAAAGCACCAATCTCGGCTGGTGGCTACAACAAGTGTCGTGCAAGCACAATTATCTCCACGCATAGCATTCCTTCTCCACATGAACTCTTCGATTGGTGGCGATTAGAAGTACATAGAAGTGTGGCAGTAAAAAGAAGCGTACAAGAAGCAGCAGGCACTGCCCATGTGCGAATGTTATCGCAGCCACGCTCTTAGACTTTCCTTACATTGAGGATCGCTGTGCACAAAGGTAGAAAATCGGGTAAGACCCAATTAGTCATTATATTCGTTGATTTGGTTTGTTGTAATTATGTGAAATTTTGATTTGCACAACCTCTTTAATATTACGTTGTTCATTTTGCGCAGGCAAGAAGTCACGTTCTTGGTCAGGCCTGGACTTGTACCTCACACCATAGAGACGTCCGTAGGCGATGGCAAGTGCAAATTTTTCATGCAACATCCTAAACCAATAGTGCATTCCTACGACAGACTGTAATTGTGAAACGATGAAAACAGCCCATATAGCCCACGAGATCACAGTTATTTTTCAGTGCTGACCGGATCCATCAAACTAGAATGTCAGAAGGTCACCGGGATGCAACCTTAAATTTACAGCGTGCTGGTCAAGCGAAAATGGCGCATGCAAAGTGTACGCACGAGAGACGAGCGTGAACTAGCAACTACCACAGCGCGAAACTTGCACCACGCTGTTCAAACTGAAAGAAGGACACTCGATAGTAATGAACCGATATGCACACGATAAGCGTGAACTAACAACTGTCACACTTGTTACTTATGTCCACCTCAGTGCTCGTCTGCTGACAAGAATGTCACCGGTTCGTTCCCAACCACGGTGGTCGCATTCTGATAGACGTGAACTCCTGGACGCTCTTTTACTCTGCGATGCCAGTGCACGCTTAAGAAGACCAGGTGGTCGAAATTATCGGAGCCCTCCACTAAGGTGCTCCTCGTAGTTGTATTGTGGTTTTGAGACGTATAACCTATATTAAAAATAATTATAATATTTGATGTCGTATATGTTATTTGGTGTCATTTATATTATTACATGTGCCGATTGTGTCAGCGCTTCTTCATTGAACACTAGGATGCGTAAAGTGGCTTCTCTACGCAATCTGTGACATTTAGCATTTAGATGTCATTGTCTTATCTGGTCGCCTAGAAGATCTTGGCTCATACCCACAAAGGAAATTGGCCACACTGTACCTTATACTAGAAATTTTTCATACAACGCTTGCTAAAAAAAGAGAGAGAAATTAGATAAGAACAGTACTAATGCTACTTTGAAAAAACGTAAAAAAGTGCAGAAGAATTCGATGAACTAGAACATGTAAAAGAAATTAGCAAGAATGAAGAAGGGGGAGAAAGAATTGAATATATTTGGCAGCACTACTAGCAGCGTATCCTTGCGGTTGCCTGAATAACTTTATGTAGCGCTGACAGAATAGCACTGCGCCCCGCACCCAACTGACTGGCTCCAAACGATAAAAGGGTGGATGTATTAACTGGCAATCCGAGCATGCCAATCGGTCTCTCAAGAGTTATTCGGCGCAGTGAGGCGAAGCAGTGGCATGTGAGAAGAAAGTGAGTTATTGTTTCCGGCTCATTGCAAACTGCCCTTAGGTTAGTTAAAGAAATCCTGATTTGTGGATATAAAAATTTGAACCTGGGACTCTACAGCTAAAGCTTGTGAAGGTCATCTCCCATTGACGGGAAAGGCATTTAGCGGTGTTCGATGTGAATTGCAAGGGCCAAAATTCTTCAGATTTTAGGAGCGATGTTTCGTTAATTTTTAAGAATAACAGGCGTTTGAATCGTTCGGCAGTAATAAAAGGAACCTGTGGAGCTACTCCTACCACCGGGATATTTAAAGATGCTGATGCTACCGAATCACCAATTTCATTTAGAGCAATTCCAGCATGCCCATGTACCCAAATAAACCGAACTTCTGCTAGGCTACGCGGTACGGGAGACCAAAATATCCTGAGAAGAGGAGACTGCTTTGCAGACGTTAGATGTGTACAAACAGACAAAGCGTCCAAAATAATAATAGCTTTTCATTGCCGAGGACTTAGTTTTCGAAAAGCCAATGTAGTAGCCAAGAATACTGCGAGATAAATTGGTGTGAAGTCATGCAATCGGGGCGCAAAAGACCAATTAAGCTGATGAGAAAAAATACCTACTCAAGCCTTCTGAAGATTTTGCGTTGCATCCGTCAAAATTACTTCGTGATTGGTAAAATGACTGACATGGTCCTGAAGGAGGCTCTCCAGAACATTCTTTGGAAGTAACTTGGCATTTTTCGGGAAAATGTCATCGAAAATTAAGTCAACTGGCACCGAGCATAGGGTTTCGGGAGTTAAATGCTGGAGGGAAACGTGATTATTTGATAACAGAGACTCGACGAAAATGACTCGGGATCTTTGATAACGACACCACGGGCGTGTAAAGAAAAAAATTGGATATGTGATGAAAACTGTCTTGGAACAGAGGAAAGGCGCATCGTAGAGTTAAAAATAGTTTACACGGTAAGCTGTCGAAATCTAGCGTCAAGTAGAATGATTCGAGCTTCGAAATGAAGCACGCTATTTGCGACACACCTAGGTAGCCCAAGACACAGCCGCAGAGCTTGCCTTTCTAGCAATATAAAAGGTCTTAATTTGTACTCAGCACTTCCGGAAAACAAGACGCAACCAAGCTCCAAAATTGCGCGTACGTAAAGTTTGTATATCACAAGTAACGTATTCCTCTGCATCCCTGAATTTTTATTGCAAAACAGTTGTAGCTATCATAGGGAACTTTCGGTTTTTCGGGTGTTTGATTCTACTTGTTGCTGCCAATTTAAATTGTCCATGTAAATAATGTCAAGATATTTTAGTGCTGTTACTTGTAAAATCAGATCATTTTGATAATGCAGGAAAATTAATACGGGAACGGTTAGAGGGAATACAAGCAGAGCCATTTGCTAACATTAGGCGAAAAAGACAACCCGCCAAGCCATAACTCAAGCTCCCTCAAATATCACTGTAAGATTTGATACAAACTATCGATATCTCGGGATCACGAAAAAAAAGCAATATCGTCAGCGTATACATAAAGAGGAACATTTTTTTAAGACGGGAATGAATGATAATTAGATATAAACTAAAAGAGGTGACAGAACTGATCCTTGCGGAACACCTTTTGTTTGCTTATGTAAAGCAGAAGTAACTCCCTCGTGGCAACAAAAGAATTGTCTCTCAAAGCAAAGCTTCTGAACCTAAGATATAATGTACTTGGGCACCTCACAGTCCACACCTATTGACTGTGCCGCATACCCACATCAGTGATAACTCCTAATCGTCATCAGCCTCTGCATGAACAGTATCACAAAATTCCTTGGAAGTGTTATGCGGATACAACGCTTCTAATTATTAACAAAAGAATAGCATAGAAAACGCGTGTCTGCGTCCCAGAAATTATTATTATTAACGCCGTAGTGGGTACGCAGCAAGTGTGCTTGCAGCAGCTACTTAATGAGTGTTTAGAGAAGGCTGTGAAAGGCCGCTCTTCCAGCTTTTGCTGTGACTGTGCTGCGCGTTTCGTGCAGGCCAGGCGTTTTTTACATGGCTCTGCTAATGTCCATACAAATTAGAACAAAGCAAGAAAATCGTGTGTGATGAAAGAGCCTGGGCGTGAAGAGCCTCTTATGGGTAACACAGAGTTCAATAACCATTCACTGTAATTACACTGAGTGTCTTTACCAAAGTAATAAGACCGCTTGATCATTAGGGAACAGGAAATAAAATAATGAAAAGAGCATATCGGAATGCACCAGGTGAGGAGGAGACGTTCTCTCTGTATCTCGTTCTTTCTCGCCCTTACCTTCAGGAAACTGGTTTTCTTTTGTAGCTGTGCAGGTTGGGGTCTAAATTATCCCAGCCCTGGCCGGTGCGACGTCCCGACAGCTTACACTTTGCTGACCCCGAGCCCAGCTTCCACTGCTATACTTAAAGTAAAGGTTCATTTTCTCTTTTTCATAGATCCAGATGTCTTGGAGGGCATATTCTATTACATGGACGACACTTGCCTTGTGATGGATCTCGAGTACCAGGGCCATTGTAAGACATAGCAATACATCTTCAGTGGTTGATATAGAGAGAGAATAGCGAAGCTTACTTTGCTTGTAGTGAAAACTGTAGTAGTAAAAACAACATTCGTGGAGGGTACTGAAATAGTGGAGTACGGTCTATGATAGTATAGCCATAGTAATAGTTTTTTTCAAGGGTCGATCTGGAGCTGGGTTTTGAGATCTCCAAGTTAAGCCCGTATCTCCTACGTGAGAACAAAGTGGCTTCGAGCGTTACACTGCTTGATTCAGAGCGACTGAATCGGCCGTGGATTCCTATGGTTTGCTCCGCCACGCGTTGTGTATTTGGGAAGTCAGACAAGCACCGAGCGTAACTTCCATCGTACTGCGAGCAAACTTAGTAGAACTTTTCAGAGATTGCAGATGTTGCCTTGAAAACGAACGCAGTAGAATTCATGCTCGAAAAACTGCGCAACAAAGAGCAACAGGCTTTAAGGATGAAGGATGACTTACTACCATAGCAACTTTAGTTATAAAAAAAGCGTTGAAAAATATACGCACACATCCCATGAAACAAGATTCATAAAGCGGCCACCGCAAAATGAGTACGCATATAAAAAACTGTCAGGCACGTTTTGGCCTCCATATTAGGTTACATCAATGTATTCACGGCCTGATAGAACTAGGGATAAACAGCTTTAACACAAAACACCCGATTTTGCATTATAGGCAGCTTCAGCATTTTTTTGGTCCCCTGACGCCTGCGGAAACACAAATACGAATATTCGTCAGAGTCGGATAGGCCTTCTCTCCTATATCCTCATTTTTACGTCTTTGCGTGCTAGCTCTTGTTGAACGAGCTCCTAAACTATACCTGTGAAAATACAAAAAACGACGGTACTATCTTCTCCTACTATTCTACTCTCTTTACAGAAAAAGTCATGACATCAGAAGTTTGTTCACATGAGATCATTATATAATTAGCTGTCGATAGATTCGTATACGACGGATATCAGCCATGACTGATCTTTTTTCCTGCTTCGCCATGTTGTCGCCCGCCCCTTCTGCCTTGTCTTTATGGGCTGTCGTGCACAATCAAATTCTTGCCCTTCGCTATGCATCTTTTCGACCTAACAATTGGAGATAACAAAATGCAGTCGAAAAGCGCCAATTTCTGCTAAGTTAAATACTTTGAGCAGCCATCGTACACGTGCCTGATGCAGAAATCAGTGTCGAGGAGGAGGAAATGCCTGCAGAAAAGGGAATTAAGGCGAGAAGGAAAGCTCCCTGTCGTAATTGTATGGAAAGGTGGGCGAGTTGTTTTAAAGAAATAATTGAAAACGTTTTGGCGCACACACGAGTGACGAAAACCTAAAGGCGAGAAGACAAGTGGCCGCAAACTCGCAACTCAGTTCAATGAAGGAAGTACACAAAGTCATATATCCCGGATTAGCTCAAGACGGCGTGTCCGTTAAAAAAAGTATGAAACGAACATGCAAGCAAATCAAAAGAAGACAACGTTCGGTTGTTGCATTCTGCTGCTTGTGGTAATTGCCACCTATGTAAAGAATTACTGTTAAGGTGTTTTTTCTATCGTATTTTGATCAGTTTGTTTGTTTGTTTGTTTGTTTGTTTGTTTGTTTGTTTGATAGTTTTTCACGCACATTCCCTCTTGAGGTAAGCCGGGATACATACTTCGTGTAATTTTTTTTTAATAAACTGAGTCGTGAGTTTGCGCCCGCCTGTTCCCTTGACTTACTTTTTTCATGTTTTGTGTGCGCACGGAAAAATTTACAATATTGTTTCTCTGTCGTCTTTGAACTCAAAGCGCTGTTGGGAAGCTTCGCAGAAATATCTAATTTGTTTTGAAATCGAGAGCAGAGCACAAGACTCAAGAAATCGTTTTATTCAACTATATCGGAAAAGCGTGTGTTGTCTGCATAGCTATTATCCCGTATAGCACTATCAAGCCACCACGTTGGATACCTTGATAAAACTTATTCTGAATTCTAATGGCGGTTTCAGGTAAACTTTTTCGAACTTAGTGGCGCAGTCACACCTCAGTTGCAGATTGAGAGTGTCAAATATGTGTCCGAATGACAGATTTGAAGCAACCGCAGACTACGAATTGCTTCGTGAAGCAAGAATTTTCGGTCTACCGAAATTGGCGCATTTAGTGGAAGGTGCGCCTGAGGCATTTTGTGCGCTCGCCTTTTATCCCATCACAGCTGAATATTTAGAGTCACGTGCTGCAATGGATGACCAAAAAAAAAAAACGCTTCACACCTCTACGCACCCCTAACTATACTTCCGTGTACTAATTACTCCCGTCATGGTGCATGCGTGTAAATTGCAGATTAGGGGAGAACAATCCTGCACGAACCTACGCGCTCCATTCGTGATCTGCTCAAGCGCTCAAGATCTGCCATGGGAATTCAAATTTCATCTGGCGGTAGAAACGTGCCTGGCACTTTTTTTAATTGCTTATCCATTCTGCGGCCGTTTGATTCTCAATCTTGTTTTTTTTTGCTTTACGTGTGTCTTTCTAGTCTTTTAATAAAGCTTCAGTTGCTTGTAGCACGTCACTCTCAATTTCTCGTACCTGTGTGTTGTATTTCCCTCGCGTTTTTCAAAACAATAATTTTAACCACCTCACCTAACTTTCTCTTTTAGTACAGAGTGGAAGTAGACAAAGATTCGTATGATTGGATTACATGCTGCGTGGGTAAAAAACTTCCGTTCTTTTCCAACGCAAAGCGCACCCACGCTTTATTTGTAGATGCTACTTGGTGCACTACGAAGCTTTCCTCCAATACTTTTTAGGTCTTCCCAAATTATTCTCGATAAAAGCGCTATAGCTTTTTGGGGGCAGTAACCTTCTCAGACAGCCTTTGGCAAGAAACCATTTCCACATCTAGTGAATTATCGCTCACGTTTACGGGCTGATATTCCTGCACCTACTGAAATGTTCTTTTTGGTTTCTCACAATTTGTTTCAGTGTGCCTTCTCTGGGTTCGTAATGAGGCTAAGGACAACATTCCACAGAAATGCTTCGCACACTTTACCGACGCCTGCGGAGGGCCCGTCCGCCAACGCAAAAAGCAACTCTGCCCCGACGTCTAGGTCGACAACTGCATCGACAGCAACTTTATTTTATTAAAGTGTATAAAAAGGTGTCACCATTCACAGATTAGCTTGGTTTAAAATTAAACACATCCGACGTGATTGATTGTTCGAAGTGTAAGTGTACTTCATGGTAACCTGAGCTGGACATCGCAAACAAACAAGGCACATGATGTAGAGTTAGCCTTGATGGGACAGTAGGTACGTTGCTCAACTGCTGACCTGCAGGAAACCAGTTCAATCCCGGCCATGCCGATGGCATTTTGATGTAGCCACGCCGCGGTGGTCTAGTGGCTAAGGTACTCGGCTGCTGACCCGCAGGTCACGGGTTCGAATCTCGGCTGCGGCGGCTGCATTTCCGATGGAGGCGGAAATGTTGTAGGCCCGTGTACGCAGATTTGGGTGCACGTTAAAGAACCCCAGGCGGTCTAAATTTCCGGAGCCCTCCACTACGGCGTCTCTCATAAGCATATGGTGGTTTTGGGACGTTAAACCCCACAAATCAATCGATCATTTTGATGTAGGTGAAATGGTAGAGACCCGTGTGCTTCTCGATGCCAAAGCACGTTACAGAACACCGGATGGTTCGAAAATTCCGGGGGCCTCTACTGCAGGGTCTCTCAATCACACCATGGTTCTGGGGCGCTACATCCAAACAATTATTCTTTTCCATATAATAATAATGCTTAAAATATTTATAATAAAGGGTATAATAACAAATCTAGTAAATTCTGTTGTTTTTTACGAGCTTATATATTTCAGTATACATGATTGTACACGAGCTATTGAACGTTAAAGGTACCCTGCAAAACTTTTTCAGGTCTACATGGAATGCACTAACTAAGAGAGCTTATTGCCCCTCGAATTCACCACCTCGAAAATTTCCAGTATTCGTTCGGTACGCGCGGAGGTACAAAGAATTTGCGCAGGCTGCCATAGCATCCCCTCCTCTCTCATCTCGACAAAAACGCTCGAAATCAACCAGGGGGAGATCACACTACAGAAGAAACTGTATGTAACATGCGCCTATAGACTTTTAAAATTTCCGCTTTTATAATTTTTTTAAATGCGCTGCATTTAAGAGCGGTCACGCGAGCACACGTACAGAAGTCACAGCCTTCTACGGCGGCCTCATCCGCGACTGAGCGCGCCATGCACAGATAGGCCAACGACTGATACTAGACCCGTTACGAAGTGATTTTTGAGCCAGTCGCATCGTTTGCCGAGAGAAGAGAAAGCCATTTTAGGTGTGAATCAACTTGTGGCAGAGCTCAATTCAGTCTGCGTAACTACCTTTACTGCGTGCATAACAGTTGGCCCAAGCGCTGCCAGAACGCGCTCATGCACTTTCACAATCAGGCCTGCGTAAGAAGCAGCGGACTCTACCCCTTACCACGCCCGCTAAATGGAAAGCGGCCGTCCTCTTACACTCTCTCAGCAAACAAGTGATGGCGTCGGTAAACGACATTCTGCAGACGCGTGATGAACCCACAAGCTCCGCGGGGCGTGGCGTTGCACCTGCGTGGCGTGCTCCAATGAGAGTACGGGACGAGCAACAGCAATAGAAATTACACTGAACTCGTGGTGTTCTTCACATGCAAGAACGCGTTAGCATCGGGCAATGTTCCCATGATGAACGGAAGACCAGTAAACAGCCCCAAGGTCGCAAAGTTGCTCACTTTTACTTCGTGGGGAGATAGAGAGAAAAAGTGAGAAGGCATTAAAGTAAAAGACTAATAAAAATAAATAAAAAAGTCACCCTCTTATATACAAAGTGAATAATGTTAGAGGAGCTTTCTCGGAGGTTATGCGTGGGTAACCCGTGAATCCTCCGTATATATCAACCACCATACATAGACGTGTCAACTTTGTTATATATCTATTACTTACGCAATGTTTGTTCGATTGCATTTGAATGGACCTTGTAAATTTCGATGAACTATGTACACTTTACATACACAAGAGATGCTCTTTTCCTTTTTTTGCAAACTACAAGGGCGTTGCTTGATGCACTGAGTGACTCGTTTTCCTTTGAGAATTATTGTTTTGCTGTGCATGCGTTATATGCAATATCTATGCTTCAAAGGTCATACATGGCTCTGGCCAGCCATAGCTCTTGCGCCATAGAACCCCACTATTCATCATCATAAATTACGAAAGGGCATTCCGCCATGAGCGAGGAGACTTGTTTTTCTTCAAAGAATACTAATTTATGATCACTAAAGTGAGTTGCCAAGGGATCACCGATGATTAGAAGCACTGAAAAGTTCCAGAAAGCAACACCAACACATTTGTTCCTGATGGTGGAGGGAGGTTTACAGTGGTAGGATACACAATGGAGAGAGTAACGTGACAATATGTGTTGGACTAGCCAATCGATTCGGATGAGTTCAACGTTCAGATCTCCGACAAGTACGGGGGGGTCGTGTTTAAACTCCGTCCTGTAAAGATGCATTGCATCTTCGATGTGCCTGCTGACGTCTTCTTTTAACAAGTTTGCTCTGAAGTACATCTCCAAGACTGCTGCCGCGGATGAAAGCTTTACCGCGGCGTGCTGACCGTTATGGATTTGGCTAGTTCTTTGCAATACGGGATCTTCAGCCGCGTCTGGTACCTTGGCGTAGGCTTGCCACCACCCGTAGGACGCTAATCTTTGATGCGCATGTTTCCAGTATTCCTTGTCACTGCAAAGCATAACATGTTGTCGGCGGTCACAACGGAATTACATTCGATGTCACGAACGTATGCTATAATAAAGCGCACGTTCAGAAAAGCAAGATCGAGCGAAAAAACGACGCATGGATTGATGGATGTATCCGGCCGGGTCCTTTAGATCGGGTGGTGGCTCACGCCACCAAGCCTTGAAAATGAGTACTATCACTGAGTGTAAAGATTGAATTTCACGCGCGCCTCGATGGTAGCCACGAATTAGTTAGCCTCCTCCTGGTGATTTCTACCCGTTTAATGTCAATTTTTTGTTTACTGCCCCTAAAACCCAACGCTTTAAAAAAATCGGCGCCATAATCTTTGACTATACGGTGGAACCCTGTACAGCAGATTATCACATGTTCAGCCGTTTCCTCTTCCTCTCCACATACACTACATACCAGTTCTCTACCTTCACATTTTGCTCGGTGTGTCTTGGCCCGCAATACTTACGTTCTAGCCTCGAAGAACAGAGAACTACCCCGAAAATTATCGTAGATCTTTTTTCTTGCAAGTTCCTGCCTAAACGTTTGAAAGGTCTCCAGAGATGATTTTATAAGCATTCCCGTCTTGCACATGACCCTCTCTGTTTCCTTCCCCTTCTTCTTAGCCGATGTTTCCTCGAGTGGCAACGCCTTGAGTGGTGGCGCGCCATCTAGAGAACATTGCCGAATGAGCGGTGAGGAGACCATGAGGAGCGACAAGAGAAGTTGATAGAATGATATCTGAGATCTAACGTCCTAAAACTACCATATGCATATGAGAAATGCCCTAGGAGAGGGTTCCGGAAATTTTGACCACCTGGGGTTCCTAAACACGCACCGAAATCTGAGCACACGAACCTTCATTGTTTTCGCCTCCGTGAAAATTGAATGCAGCCGTCGCAACCAGGATTCAATCCCGCGAACTTCGGGTCAGCACAGCGACCGAGTACCTTAGTGACTAGACCGCCACGGCACGGTGACCAGAGAGGTGTCCGCTGGGAAGGTGTATGAGCCAGCCACAGACAAAGCGCAAGCATAAGAAGCTTTCCGGGCAAGGTCCTAAAAAGAGGCTGCATTCTTTATCTGTTGCACGAGAATATCCTTATGTGCGTCGGCAGTTTCTCATTGCGTGGTTTCAAGGTACAGCTCAAGAGTGTCTAGATGACCGACACAGTACAAATACGTTATTGAAAGTTTCCTAGCACGCCTCTGTAGCTTGAGGGAGGTTAAAAAGCCCAATAGGCACTGAAGTGAGGAAGTTCTTCCTGGTATCGAAATCATTCGATGCTCATGGAGCGCACGCTCATCAGGATACGCTCTACACTCTAATAAAATGTGTTTCATAGTTTCAATGGAGCCACAGTTGTTTCACTACGGACTCACTGCTTGAAGAAAGTGGTGCCATATGCTGTTTCCGTAGGCAGTGTTTAGACGAAGACGATGGTATATCGTTTGCAGATGATGGGAATATTTAATAGGAGTCTTGTTCTGTAATACAGGTCAATTGAGTGGATCATGGCATAATGATTTATCTTATAGTGCTCCATCCTCTCACTTTCTTCAAACGCAAGTTATTTAACCATATGAGACACATCAGATTTGCTGAAATAGTTACGCCGGTAATTATGGCGTGCTTGACTCTTGCATGCTGCTTCATCTGCTTTATTATTGGTCAGAGTGCCACAGTGAGCTGCTATTTACTGAAACGTGATGAAGTTCCCTGCTGTAAGAGCCGGGTGGTGTAAGCATGCCCACAAGCTTCTTCAGCGCGCTGCGTGAAAAAAAAAGACGGTAGCCAGAAAGTTGAAGCATTTGTACAGCGCTTTTTTGTACACTACGCGCTGTTTTAAATGTTCGCGCTGAAAACAACTTGCCAGTATGACTCCACGTGAACTAGCCCAAGCTTCCATCCCACTCGTTTAAGTAGGCTATGTGGAATAAAACGGGGTGGGAATACGTTTGCTTTAGGAGGCTCAACAGTGCTTGTAGTGCTTTCTTGGAGTGAGTGAAAATTGCCTACTGGTTGATGGTTTGGTGCAAACTAAAAAGGACCGCTTCTTAGATTTCATGAAGTTCTGATGTCGTCCAGGACGTCCTGCACTGCAGCTGATAAGATAGCGGTGGTCTTCTTGAGGAGACATAAAGATCATAGTAGTAATTCACCTCAGTGGTTGAAGTGTCGCTGTGCTGAAAGTGCTGAGGGTAGTGCACGTATAAGTGGAGGAGAGTAGTCTGCAGCAGCGTACTTATTTACATTCTTCTTTTGCTTCACTGCCACGTTCAATTAATCTACAGTCAGAGGCGAAGATGTCGAGGGACAAATTATTGAAGGCGTTAATATCTGCGGATGTAAAACACCCGCAAGTTGAAGCGTTTGCACAGCTTGCCCGAGTGCGGAAATGCTAACGGTTTGGCGAAAACGGTA